TTTTGGAGGCCTCCGCTCCCCCGTGACGCGTTCGGTCCGGGGTCGGGCTGGGCGAGGACGGGGGCGTCGAATTGCCGGTTTGGGGTCCCTGGGGGGGATTATGGGGGGGATAATCTCACACGCCTAAAGACCCACAAGGGGTCGGCGGATTATGATGATGATGCTGCTGATGATGATCTGTAATGGTGATGGCGATGCTGATGCTGATGTTGTTGTTGCGGGGTACGATGATGGTCATGCTGATGATAATGCTGCTGATGATGCTGATGAAGATGCTGATGACACTGATGATGATGATGATGTTCATGATGATGATGATGATGATGATGATGATGATGATGCTGCTGCTTATGCTGGTAATTGTGCTGATAGCGACTGTGCTGCTGCTTATGACAAGGAGGTTGATGCTGTTGTGAGTGATGATTAGCATCCCGTTGACCATGAGGATGCTGATGATACTGATGACGATGATGGTGATGATGCTGATGGTAATGGCGGTGATGATGATAATGGTAATGATGATGCTGATGCTGATGATGATAATAATGCTGATGCTGATGCTGATTCGGATGATGCTGATGCTGATGATGATGCTGACGATGATTCTGACGATGATGATGATGATGATGATGATGATGATGATGATGATGTCGATGCTGATGATGCCAATGCTCTTGACGATGTTGCTGATGATGCTGATGATGATGCTGATGATGATGCCGAGGCTACTGGCGACGATGCTGATGATGATGCTGATGTTGATGCTGATGGTGATGCTGCTCATCATTATGATGCTGACGCTGACGCTGCGGCTGCTGATGATGCTGATGCTGATGATGAGTTAGTTGTAGGAGGCAAAATATGCTGATGATGCTGCTGCTGATGATGGTGATGATGCTGATGATAGTGATCATGATGCTGATGATGCTGCTGATGATGATGATGATGATCATGATGATCATGATGATAATGCTGATTGTGATGCTGGCGGTGATGCTGGCGGTGATGATGCTGATGATGATGATGTTTATGATGATGCTGATGCTGAAGATGATGATGATGCTAATGTTGATGATGCTGATGTTGATGATGATTATGATGATACTAATAATACTGCTGCTGATGATGCTGATGATGATGATGCTGATGATGCTGCTGCTGATGATGATGACGATGATTAGGAGGAGGAGGATGGCACGGAGGAGGATGTGGAGGATGACGAGAGCGAAGAGGAGGAGCAGGAAGAGGAGGAATAGTAATAATCAGTTGAAGGAGCAGACGAATAATATTAGTACGAAAATGAATCTTGATATTATAGATAATAAGAATACGAGAATAATACGAATGCGTATAACAATATCAAAAAGCAATATGAGCAATGCTGGGAAGAACATCATAATCATAACAAGAATAATAACAGTCTCGCCAGCCCATCCACAAACAATGTCTGGGCGACGTGATGGCTGCTGGGAAGTAGAGAAACATATAGTGAACCCGAAGACCCCGCAAAGGGTGAATTTAGAAAATGGAAGGGGGGAGAGCCTTCACCGCCATCCTGGATCTCTCATGTTGTGACGAGTTCGGAACGACCAGTGTGTCTCGGTCAACCAGGAGGGGCTCACAATAAAGCAGCACAGTAGGCACGACAAATCGTACACACATGCATGGAATACCCAATCATCATTCATGGGCCGTGTAGTTGTAGGGGACCGCCCATCTCTTCTCGTGTATCATTGCTGTCATCGTCCTCTCATGGCGGTTTTCTGTCTCTCTGTTTATATGTGTCTCTTTCCATATTTCTCTTCCGTAACCTTTTCGGCTCCATATCCTCATTCATGAACAGCCATGGGCGCTCAGATTCTTCATATTATCTTGTTATACGGCGTGCCCCCGCACGGTGGCGGGATGGACCGAAGGTCACTAGATTTTCCATCTCCTTATCCCGAATTCGGGTTACACAGCCCCAAGACAGCTCAAGAGGGCCCGAAAACGGCGCCAGAGGGATCCAAGAGGGCTTCATGTTACAGGCCTCTTGGACCGTCTTGGGGTTATCGCCGGTCGTATTCAAAATATAATGGGCTGTCTTGGAGCATCTAAGAGTGGCCGGAGACGGCCGGAGACATCCTGGGCATTCCTGGGAGGGGTGAGGGATCTATTCCGTTTAACCGGATCCCCCCCCTGCAAGCCAGCCAGACCGAACCCCATGGGGACGGCGGATAGCTCGGGATCTTGAAGGTGGACGCGGGGGCCGCGTGGTAACTGACCGCTTGCGCACAATACAAGTAATAGCGGTTCCAGGGCGCGAATCTGGCTGCACTTCTGTGGGTCCTGGTCGCCGAGGCATGAACCCAGAGTACTTTGCAATGGGACGTGGCCTCGGAGGCGCGTATCTCGTGTACTTTACGAGGGATCTGCGCCTCGGGAGCGCGAGCGTCGTATATTTTCGAGGTGTCCTTGACTCGGGCACCGCGCAGTCCCCTCCTGTTCGCACAAGCGTTCCAGTTTTGACGTCCCCATGTGATGCCACACCTGCAAGGAACGTTCGAACATTCGCTTCCCGTTCTTGTCAGGTCAGGTTTTTTCCAGTGTAGCGGCTGAAGGGCCCCAAGGCGGCCCAAGAGGGCACCAAAAGGATTCAAAGACGGCCCCAAGAGAGCTTCGGATGGCCTCCAGACGGTCCAAGAAAGCTTCAGAGGCTTCAGAGGTTCTCCAGAGGGTCCCAGAGAGGGCCAGAGGAGGCCAACAACATGGATTTCCCAAATGTTTCTGCAGGTTTTTCGGGTTCTTGTTTTTTTCTGGTCCAGAAGGGCCCCAGGCAGCCCAAGAGGCCCCAAAGATCGTCCCCAGACTGCCCCAGAGGTCCCCCAAAGGCGCCCAAAACGTTCCCAGAGGGCCCCCAGACGCCCAAGGGGCGCCCAAAAACGGCCCAAAAGGGCCCTAAGACGGCCCAAGAGGGCCCCAAGAGAGTCCCAAGAGAGCCCCAAGAGGGCCCAAAAAGGCTCCCAAGATAGCCCCAAAAGGCGAGAACCCCAAGGCAGCCAAAGAAAGGCCTCGAAGACTCCCCAAGACGGCCCAAAAGGGCCCCAAGACGGCCCAACATTGCCCCCAAATGGCTCCCAAAGAGCCCCAAGAAGACCCCGACGAGGCCCAAGAGACGCTCAAGAACACCATGGCTCGCATCAGCGAGCGGTGACGTAACAAGCTCTTGACACCAAGGCTCCCCAGAGCGCGGTGACGTACAAAGCTTGTCACACCAAGGGTCCCAAGAGCGAGCGGCAACGTAAAAGTATCTGAACACCAGGGCTCCCAACGGAGAGCGACGACGCAACAAGCTCTTCACACCAAGGCTCTCAAAAGCGAATTGTGCCATGAGCCATCTCGGGCTAGTTCCTGAGGCGTTCTTTCCGTTTTCGTGCCGGCCCATGTCGAATGGCCTTCGACCCATCCCGCCACTGTGCCTGGATTGTGGGTCATAGGCCTCTGGGATGTTCGTTGGAATGTCGCGGGAGGCCTCTCCGGGGCCTCGTGGAGGCAGTTTTGAGGCCTCTTCGGGGGCCGTTTCCGAGCCTCTTGGGGGCCTCTTGGAGCCTCTTGGGGGCCTCGTGGGACCTCCTGGGGGCACCTTGGGACGAAAGGCTCGAATTGTCGGTTCGGGCTTCCACTCTTAGGGCCGTCTTGGGGCCCTCTTGTGCCGTTTTGGGCGGCTCTTGGGCCGTCTCGGGCGTGGACCGTCTTGGGGCCCCTCTGGAGGCCTCTGGGGCCGTCTTGGGGCGGTCTTGGGGGCTGCTTGGGACGTCTTGGAGCGCCGGAAGCTCGAAAGTCGAGAACCCCCCAAACATTTGGAAAGCTTCAGGGCACATCCATCATTTTGGCCTCTCGGCGGCCTCTTGGTGAGGCTCTTGGGGCTCTCTTGGGGCGTCTCGCAGGCTTCTTGGGCCTTTTTGGAGCCACCTTGAGCGTATTTGAACACGTTCAGCGATTCTGGGCACTTGGACCGTCTGGGTGGCCTCTTTGGGGTCTCTTGGCCCCTCTTAGGCCCCTCTTGGCTCCCAAGAAGTCATGCGGGAGCACTAGACGCGCCCCCCAGTTAGGGCACTCGGCTAGCCCCAAGATATTTGAGAATTTTGGGTCCGGGTCCCTCAAAGAAACCTCAGGATTGAAGACCGAAGTTCAGGTGTTGAGCAAGGGGACTGGGGACACTCCACGTCGTGCCACAGGAGCAGGGTGGCGGATGCTCGGAATGTATTTCAAATAGCGGCTGGGAATTCTGGTTTTTGCAGTGGTGCTCTATTATATGCCTAGTGATGTCTTGATGGTTTGGGGTTCTCGTTCTGGCCCTTGTCCCCGATTGGTAGTGCCCTATGGCCCCATGGCTGATGCCCGGTGATGCCTCACTGATTTCAAACGCTGGATCTTGCATTCGTGCCTTGTGAGTGATAGTCCACGTTTAGTGCCATCCTTGCCCCAGTCAGCAGTTGCACCAGAGGTCTCCTCTGCGGAATGTTTTTGAAAATATGGTTGCGATCTTATATGCGTTGCCCTGGTGCTTTATAGGAGGTGCACCTCATGTGCGGCACCAAATGAAACGCACATCGAGGATCCATTGCTCGGGTCCCACTTTGGCTGACATGTTATGATTTTGTTATCGTTGTTTTTATCTACGTGAGTGCAGGGATTGTTTGATACCATTTGTGATCGTGCATTGTGAGGGCGGGTCGGATTTCAAGGTGTTCGAGTTTGTGTGGTAGGTCTCATGTGTTGTTGAGGCATCTTGACAAGGGACACGGAACTGCAAACATTACTGTCACCATTGGTGCCACCGTTGCTGATGATGTTACTGTTGCTGCTGCTGTGACTGCCACCTCTGGAAAGTCTTTAAGCACTTCTCTTTTTTGGGGGGTCGTCTTGTGCTCCGACGAGAGAATGCACCCCTCGCCCTTTTTGGGGGGGTCGAAGGCCCCCCTAAGTCCCGAAGCTACCGACTCGCCATGTGTCCGCAGGAGTACGCCCTCCCATCTCACGATGTCGTCGTTCAGCGCTACGACTCGAAGGGCACGCCCCTTACCGATGAGACCGCCGACTGCTACGATGCCCGGCAGGGCGAACTCTGCCACACCGCCAGCAAGTGGGCATCGACAACGGGCCTGGCCTCGCATCCCGACTGGTACGCCGAGGTCCGGGGCCAGAAAGAGTTCGCGGACATGCAGGACAGGGCTGGACCTAAACGCTGTTTTGCTGGACTTCGGCTGTGTTTTGTTTTTCGTTTTGGCAGAGGGGGTACAGGGAAACAGGCAGAGCAAAACGAACAACAAAACGAGCACAACACGAGATGCAACTTTTAGGTCCAGCCCTGATGCAGGAGTGGTTCTGGAAGCACCACAGGCATGGCTGCCAGCGCCCCTGCCGCGGCGCGGACCCGATGGACCTCCCCGCAGACGACCTGCTGGATGAGATGCAGGCCGAGGCCGAGGAGGACGAGACGCACAAGCTCGAGCCCGTCTTCGAGCCAGACGAGATGTCGTCCGATTTCGACTCCAGCCCCCAGCCTGCAGCGCAGACCGAGGCCTCCCACGTCGGCCCGGCGCAACCCAGCAGAGCGCTCAGCCTGCCGGATGGGAGCTCCGCCAGCGTCCCCGTGGCGCCCACCAGCTCAGGCGCCGACGCGGAGCCCGAGACGCGCACGGGGCCCGACGCCACGGCTGCGCCCGACGCGGAGCCCACGCCTCACACCTACGCCGCGGGCGCGCCCGATACGGAGCCCGCTGAAGACACGGAGGTCAAAGCCATGGGCGCATCCGACGCGGAGCCCGTGGAGCCCGTCTCCACGCACGCGTTCGAGACCGAGCTCGCGCCCGACGCGAAGCTCGGCGCCACGGGTGCACCCGACGCGGAGCCTGAACCCAGCACAGACCTCGACGCCAAGGCTGCGCCCGACGCGGAGCCTGCGGACCGCACGCAGCCCGCCGGCACGGGCACGCCGGACACGAAGCCAGTGGAACCCGCCTCCACGGACGCTCTCGAGATGGAGCTCGCGCCCGATGCGGAGCCCAACGCCACGGACGCGCCCGACGCAGAGCCCGCGCCCGGTGCGAACTCGAATGCCACCGACGTGCCCGACGCGGAGCCCGCACTCACGGAGTCCTCCGCCACGGGCGCGCTCGAGACGGACCTCGCGCCCCAAGCGGAGCCCGGCGCCACGGTCGCGCCCGACGTGGAGCCCGCGCCCAGCACTGAAGCTGACGGCACAGGGGTGCCCGAAACGGACGCCGCGCCGTACACTGAGCCAGAAGCCGACGGCGCCCCCAACACAGAGCCCGCGTCCAGCTCGGAAGCCGATACTTCAGTCACGCCCGGCGCGGAGCCCGCGAACACGGAGGTTGACGCCATGGGCTTGCCGGCCGCGGAGCCCACATCCCGCCCACAGCCAGTCGCCATGGGCGCGCCAGGTGCGGAGCCCGCACCCCGCACAGAGCTTAATGCCACGGGCGGGCCCGACGCGGAGCCCGCGCCCCGCACGCAGCACAACGCCACGAGCGCGCCTGACATGCGGTCGGACCCCGACGTGGCGGGCGCACCCGACGCGGAGCCTGTGCCGCATGCAACTGCCGACGCCCAGGGCTCGCCCGCTCCGCAGTCGAATGTCAGTGGTGAGGGCCCGGCGTTGCCGCAGGAGGAGGCTTCCGTGGTGACCGTGTCGACGCCCCAGGCTGCCCCCCAGACGTGCAAGTTTTACTGCGTGTTCTACCTGTCCACCTCGTGGAAAAGCAAGTGCGCCTCGCCCGACTGCGAGGGCTGCCTGCGGTGCGTGGACCAGCGCCTCAGTGCTCAGGAGGAGCTGGAGCAGCAGCGCCTGAGGAACGGAGTCCCCCCGGAAAAAGCTGCGGCGTGCAACGACGCCGTGAAAGGCGACCCGTGCTACCGCGCCGTCGAGTGGGCGAGCGGCTCGGGTGCGCGGACGCACCCCGACTGGTACAAGAACGTGCCCGCCCCTGGAGGCTTCGAAGATTTCCAGGAGCCACCAAAGGCACCCATACTGAAGGTCCACGTCGTGTCGACCTGCGGCGACCCCGCCGCCAGCGTTCAACGTTGAATGCCGCCAGCGACCCGGAATAGGTTTATGTTGAACGATCGGACGTTGCGGGAACGACCGATCGTTTAAGGTTGAACGGTCCCAGCGGTGTCAGGAAACAGTGCTGGGGTCTTCACGACACGAACCTGCCGTGAAATACACCATCATTCCTGACCAGGGCGCTCAAGTCAGGGGCAGCGTGAGGCGGGGACAGGTTCAGAGAGGGATGCATTGAACCCCACTCTCCCATCCATCGCCGACAGGTGCCCGATAGGCCAACCCGCCCAGGGCCATGCGGATTTGCCGTCGGGGGCCTGTCGTCCATTTATCGGCGCAGCGCCGTCGATTCCAGGTCGATGTCTCCTACCCTCCTGGGCCGGTCCCCCCTAGTAACGTTCCCCCTCGTCCTGGTGCCCTGGCTGGTAAGGCTTCGGGATGCGTACCGTCCCGGCTGGCCTCAACAGGCCCCCCGAGTAGTCCCAGCTGGCGTCAACGGGCGCTTCCCCGCGTCGTCCGGGGCGGTCTCAGCAGCCCAACGCTCCAGGGCGCCGCTGGAGGCGCCGCCAGGGTGTTGAGATCGCCCCGAACTTTTCGGATGGCCTGTTGAGGCCAGCTGGGACTACCGGCTTGCAGACCCTGGATTCCTTTCTTCATAGTTCCTTCTTGAATGCTCGGGGATCGCAGGGGGTCGCAGGATCGCGCTGCATCGCCGATGCATCGGCGATGCGGCTCGATGTGTGGGCCGATTTTCTCCGTGCCGACGTTGCGGATGCTTCGCCGGCATCACCGATGCATCGCGGATGTATCGCCGATACATGGGCGATGTACTGGTGATGCGGCACGATCCTCCAGCCCCATCTACCCACGAAGCTTTGAAACGGGCGAAGCCCGCTGTGAAAAAAATGCAACGCCAAGATCTCAGAGGAATCCAGTGCCCTCACCGTTTCCCGATATGCGATGTCCTGAAAACGCTCTCCCTGGAAGTCCCGCGGACCGGCTTTTCATTCCGAGTCGTTTCTTCACGGTCCTGAGGGCCGATACGGGCCCTTGGGGGCCGGTACGGGCCCCCGGGGGCCCCAGAGGCCGCAAAAGATAAACAATTCCCGTCGTGATTTCTTTGCGATGCGAGCATTTCTGGGCACCGGTGCCCGCCGCGCGCAGAAGCCGACGTCGCCGAACGTACGACGCCGATGCATCGCCGATGCAGTAGGGGCCACGGCACCCTCAGATCCGACGAGGCAGAACTCGGCGGCGAGCGAGGCGGGGAAGTGAGGAGGAGGAGGAGGAGGAGGAGGAGGGTTGCTCAGATCCTTATATTTCGGTCGGTCGTGTTCCTCTTCAGGGGGGATTATGCCAAACTGGTCAAAAATAGTATGGGGATGATGTGTTATTATAATTGTTTTTGATTATTTGGATTATTCCCAACCGTCCCGTGGTGTTGGGTCCTCGTTTTGAAGAAGACAGCGCCCCGCGTTCTCCTCTCCTCTCCTCTCCTCTCCTCTCCTCTCCTCCTCCTCCTCCTCCTCCTCCTCCTTCTCCTCCTCCGCCCATCCCTGCCTCTGCCCTCCGCATGTATTTGTTTCGGCACACACCTCACACGTTTCGTGGCCCACAGGGATCTCCACCGAAGGCCCCAATGGCAGGGTTCGCGTGTGTGTCCCCGCACACTTCGGCACGCCCCTCACACGCTTCGTGGCCCCATTCGGAGCTCCACCGAAGGCCCCCGTGGCAGGGTTCGCATGCGTCCCCCCACCCACGTCTGCACACCCCTCACACGCTTCGTGGCCCCACAGGGAGCTCCACCGAAGGCCCCCGTGGCAGGGTTCGCATGCGTCCCCCAGCCCATTTTGGAACTCCCCTCACACGCTCCGTGGCCCCACAGGGAGCTCCACCGAAGGCCCCCGTGGCAGGGTTCGCATGCGCCAACGCACCCATTTCGGCACACCCCCCACATGTTCGTGGGACCACAGGGAGCTCCACCGAAGGCCCCAGTGGCAGGGTTCGCATGCGTCCCCCCGCCCATTTCGGCACACCCCTCACACGCTCCGTGGCCCCAATAGGGAGCTCCACCGAAGGCCCCAGTGGCAGGGTTCGCATGCGTCCCCCGCCCATTTCGGCACACCCCTCACACGCTTCGTGGCCCCTCAGGGAGCTCCACCAAAGGCTCCCGTGGCAGAGTTCGCATGCGTCCCCTCGCCCATTTCGGCACACCCCTCACACGCTTCGTGGCCCCACAGGGAGCTCCATCGAAGGCTCCCGTGGCAGGGTTCGCATGCGTCCCCCGCCGATTTCGGCACCCCCTTACATTCTCCGTGGGCCCACAGGAAGCTCCACCGAAGGCTCCCGTGGCAGGGTTCGCATGCGTCCCCCCGCCCATTTCGGCACACCCCTCGTGGCAGAGTTTGCATGGCGCCACCGCGCCCATTTCGGCACACCCCTCCCCTCACACGCTTCGTGGCCCCATGGGGAGCATCACCGAAGGCTCCCGTGGCAGAGTTCGCATGCGTCCCCCCACCCATTTCGGCACACCCCTCACACGCGTTTCGTGGACCCACAGGGAGCTCCACCGAAGGCGGGGCTCACAACTGCGGTCCTCACAATTGCATATGATTCGGTCCTTCGCCAGCATAATTTTGGTTCACTGATTTGTATGTTTCCTCCAAATGCCTGTAGGAGGACATGCCCGACCTAACCTTGAATCCAGTGCCCTCACCGTGCCCTCAGATCCGACGATGCGCAGCACATGCCGCGCCGCAGCACTCGGCGGCGAGCGAGTGGGGGAAGTAAGGAGGAGGAGGAGGATGCCTTTTCAGAAGGCGGCGGGTCTTGGGAGAAGCCCTCGGCCCTTCTGGGAGGTGTTCCGCGTCTTCGGGCAAGGCCCAGGGGTTCCCGAGTTTTCCGAGAAGGCCTGCCCTTTCTCGCTTCTCCCCCGGGCTCGCCGCCGAAAACATCACCGGCGGAGCCCCGGACCTGCGCCATGTTGCGAGCTGGGTGGAGCTGCGAGGGCCCCAGGGCCCAGACGCGGGCGAAAACGCCCGCACCTCGGGAGCGGCCAAGAGGGTGGTGAAGACTAGGGGGGTGGAGATCGTGGCGGGGGCCACAATATCTCCCCAGATTTCATGGCGCCTCTTCTCATTTCATCACGCCCTTGGCCCCCCCCCTGGGCCGCGCGAGTGCCGCTGGCCATGATTTGCGCCCCCCCCTCTTGGACGCCTCCCTCCTGGCCGCCCCCGAGCAGCGACAAAACATCGCGGCGTCACCGCCAGAGCCCTGGACCCCATCTTGCTGCGCCACTCTGCGGGCTGGGGGCGATCTGCGAGGGCCCTGGGGCCCGGACGCGGGCGAAAACGCCCGCCGTGAACAAAATCGCATCGGAGGAGGAGGAGGAGGAGGAGGAGGAGGAGGAGGAGGAGGAGGAGCAGGAGCAGGAGCAGGCAGGAGGAGGAGGAGGAGGAGGTGGAGGAGGGGAGGAGGAGAGAGGAGGAAGAGGAGGAGGAGGAGGAGGAGGAGGAGGAGGAGGAGGAGGTGCCCGCAGGAGTTCTTCTGGAGGGCGCGGAGGCACGGCTGCCGGCGGCCGTGCCGCGGGGCGCCACAGGGCAGCGGCGGCGGCGGGTCGCCGGCCGGCCCCGCCAGCGAGGCGCCGCGGCCGCCCGAGGGCGGGGGCGGCAGCGGCGCGGCCGCGGTGCGGGCGCAGGAGGATCGTCGACGTCGCCGTCGTCGCCCGGGGAGGAGGAATGGAGGAATGGAGGAAGGGGGGGAGGGGGAGGAGAAGGAGGAGGAGAAGGAGGAGGAGAAGGAGGAGGAGGAGGAGGAGGAGGAGGAATGGAAGAATGGAGGAAGGAGAAGGGGAAGGGAGGAATGGAGGAGGAGGAGGAGGAGAGGAGGAGGAGGAAGGAAAAGGAGGATGAGGAGGAGGAGGAGGAGGAGGAGGAGGAGGAGGAGGAGGAGGAGGAGGAGGATGGGGTGGAGGAGGAGGAGGAGGAGGAGGAGGAGGGAAGTGGAGGAGGAATGGAGGAGGAGGGGGAGGAGGAGGGGGAGAAGGAGAAGAGGAAGAGGACCAATGCAAACCCAAGACTCACCAACGATGTTGCAATATCCGTAGGCCCCTAGAATGAGCCAATTCCATTGGCAACGTTGGGGGGCAGCCGTGTGGTCATTTTAAGGCGTGCCAAAACACCATTCTCGGGACTCGAACGCCACGAGTTAATTTGACTGCTACGCCTTGGCGATCCTGAATCGCTCCAACACACCATTTCTGATACGTTAATCAGGAGGGAAAAACACACTGACACAATTAATCGTCGAGTCCCCAGAACATATGGGAAAATATGGGCAGTGGTGGGGGGGGAAGACGAACACCCAGACAATATGGAAACATATGGAGAATCCAACTATTTTTGTGTATTTCTTGGTGTGTGTGTGTATGTGTGTGTCCCAGGCCCCCTTCAGTTAACCGCTTCCCCCGGATAATAAAGTACCCCCCTTCCCACCTGAGAGTTCATTATCCCCGACCGCTGCAGATTTGGTCAGGGGAGAGGGGCGGCAAGGCCGAACTTTAATATCGCAGGGAAAGTTGCGAATCGAAGTTGCTATCTCCTTATGTTGACTAGCAACATTATCAAACGCGTGTGACATGGCAATGGGGTCTCACGTTTCTCCGCTCTCTTAGTTTTCCCTGGCCCCCGTCACGTTTTTGTCCCAACCATCCTGTGGTGTTGGGTCCTCGTTTTGAAGAGACTGTCCCGCGTCCCTCCTCTTCTCTTCTCCTCCACTCTCCTCTTCTCCTCTCCTCCTCCTCCTCTTCTCCCTCTTCTCTCCTCTCGTCACCCTCTCGTGGCCCGATGGGGAGCTCCACCTAATGTCCCAGCGGCGCAGTTCGCATGACGGCGCCGCCCCATTTTGGCACACCCCTCACACGTTTCGTGGCCCCATAAGGATCTCCACGTATGGTCCCAATGGTGCAATTCGCATGGCGGCGACGTCTCATTTTGGCACGCCCCTCATCTCCACGTATGGTCCTAATGGTGCAATTCGCATGGCGGCGACGTCTGATTTTGGCACGCCCCTCACGCGCTTCGTGGCCCCATAGGAAGCATCATCTAAGGTCCCACTGGCGCAGTTCGCATGGCGGCGCCGCCCCATTTTGGCACACCTGTCACACGTTTCGTGGCTCCATGGGGAGCTCCACTTAAGGTCCCAGTGGCAGCTCGCGTGGCGGGGCCGCCCTATTTTGGCACACCCCTCACACGCTTCGTGGCCCCATAGGGAGCTCCACATTAGGGCCCCTGCCGCAGTTCGCATGGCGGCGCCGCCACATTTTGGCACACACGTTTTCGTGGCCCGGGAACTCCAGCTAAGGTCCAGTGGCGCAGTTCGCGTGGCGGCGCCGCCTCATTTCGGCACACCCCTCACACGCTTCGTGGCCCCATAGGGAGCTTCAGAACTTCTTTCGGTCCTGTGGACTCTCGCCTTGGGCAGTCGGCTGTCCGGCGCGCTGCCCCCTCGGTCGACGTCGCCCAGGCGTGATCCCAGACGAGGTCGGGAACGGCAAGAGGGAGGACCACGACTGGTGGCTGCAGCTCTATGCGCTGCTCTCGCGCACCACCCGCCACGAGGACCTCCTGCTCGTGCGGGCGCCGCGCCTCGAGTTCTTCCTGGCAGGTCGCGCAGGTCTGCCGTAGGGCTAGCGGAAGCAGCTGGAGCAGTTAGCGGCGCGCACGAAGCGGCGCGGGAGGGAGGCGACGGCCCTCGCCAGGGAGCTGGGCTTCATTGAGTTTTCCGCGGGGCTTGACCTGAGGAGAGGCTCGCCCGAGCCGCGCCTTCTCTCGACTGCCCAGCCTCGCGTGGAGGACGACCCGCGCCTGTCTCTGGGCCCTCTCGAAGCGATAAGCCCGCGTCGCGGGATATCCGCGCGGCGCTCTGCCCAGCGCTTCGCTCGCCCGTCGTCGCTCTGCCAAGTGGCCAGATCCCTGCCCGCTGTCAGTCAGCCAGCTGGCCCTCTTTGCTCTTCGCCACGGATGACCCGCGCGCGTCGCTGGGGCCCTCTCGGGGCGACCGGCCCGCGTCGCGGGAACTCCGCGCGGCGCTCTGCCCGGCGCCTCGCTCGCCAGGGGCCGGATCCGCGCCCGCCGTCGGCCAGCCAGCTAGCTCTCTTTGCTCCGCGCAGCGGACGACCCGCGCGCGTCGCTGGGACCCCTTCGGGGCGACCCGCGCGTTTCGCGGGGGCACCGCGCCGCGCTGCGCGTGCAGCCTTGGGCCTTGGGGTGCGCGGGCTCGGAGGGAGAGAACTATGGAAATGAAGCGGGCGCGCCGACATGGGCGCCGCGGCGCGCGGGCGCTGCCGTCGGGGTTTCAGCGGGGGGGCCCTGTGGCAGCCACGCTCAGTGCCGCGGGTATTCAGAGCCAGGCGCACCCAAACCGTTCACATTCATATTGATTTACCTTAGGTGTAGCCATTCTCGCATTCATGCACATCGATTCACTCGCGCGTGGACTCATTCACAATCGGATTCACTCGCGCTCAGACTCATCCGCGCTCAGTCTCTCATACTCAGACCAATCGTCCTCGTTTGTGTCGTGTACCCGGCCACGCATTTCGGCGCGCCCCTCCTGCGGTTCGTGGCCCCATCGGGAATGCCACCAAAGACGATATTCACAATTGCGACATTCACAACTGCATATGGTTGGGTCCTTCGCCAGGCGAATTATCTTGAAGGGGTTTCAAATAAAAACGTAACGTCCCGAATCCGTTTTGTATTTCTCTCCATATATATGTATATATATATACATACTATATATATATATGTATTGGGGGGAACTTGTCCTTGGGCCTCCCTCCGCTTCCTTTCCTTTTTTCTCTCGTCCCCCCATATCCAAAGGATTGGTTTCTTGTACCCCATGTCCAAAGGATGGGGGTCCTGTTATTTCCCGTATCGAAAGGATAGGGTTCTTGTCCCATACATCGAAATGATGTTTTTTCGTTGTCTTCCGACCGCGCCGGACCAAGAGAACCCCTCCCCCCCTCTCTCTTTGCACTCGACCATGCTGATGATTGTCATGATGAGGTGAAAGTATGATGTGAGTATGATGGTGATGGTGAATGATGAATAACTATGATGATGAAGATGCTGATGCTGAAGATGTTGATGATGGTATGGATGATGATGACGATGAGCAGGTGATGAGGATGTCTCGAGCGGCTTGCTGGTTTTAACACTCTTAAAGGAGGGCCGCCAGGGGTATTGCACGGCCTCCGTTCGCGCCCAAATGGTGGGGATGTCTCAGGGGGTTTGCTTGTTTTTGTCCCCAACATACTCCGCTGTCGGAACAGATCCTGAGGATGCCTCCGGCGGCTTGCTGGTTCTAGCACTCCTAATGGGGGGGGCCGCCAGGGGTACTGCACGGCCTCCTTCCGCGCCCAAATGGTGGGGACGTCTCAGGCGGTTTGCTTGTTTTGGCCCTCAATATTTTCAGTTTTCGGAACAGATTCGGAGGATGTTTCAGGCGAGGCGCAGGCGTTGGCTCCCCAGGAGGGCCAGATTTCGAGGATGTCTCAAGCGGTTTGCGTGTTTTGGTGGTCAGACTCGACTGCTGTCAAAGCAGATTCTGAAGAAGTCGATGGCGAGGCGCTGATTTCCGCACTCCCCGAGCGCCCAGATTGCGAGGATGTCCTAGACTCCCTTATGCTCAAACCCACTCGTGCTCAGGCTCACTCATATTCAGACTCGCACTCATCATATTCATACTCAGACGCACTCACACCCAGACTCACGCACACTCAGACTCACTCTCACTTAGACCCGCCCACCCTCAGACTCATTGGTAGTCATACTCACTCGTCCTCAGACCCACTCAGGGCCAGTTTCATATCCATCATACTCATACTCAGACGCGCTCACCGTCAGATTTACTAACGCTCAGAATCACTCACACTCAGACCCACCCACCCTCATATTCACTCGTAGTCAAACTCACTCGTACTCAGACACATTCAGACTTAGACTCGTACTCACTATTCTCATACTCAGATTCACTGGCTTTCGCGCCCCAGGGGGGGCAGAGTGCGAGGATGTCCCAGACTCACTTGTGCTCAGACTCGTACTCATCCTACTCACACTCAGATTACTCACTCACACCCAGTCCATGCCAATAGATGCACAGATGGGGAGCTCCACGCAGTGAATAATTATTGTCCGACCGCGCCGGACCAAGAGAACCCTTCCACTCCTCCCTCACTGCACTAGACCATGATGATGATTGTCATGATGATGACCATGGTATGGTGAGAGTATGATGTGAGTACTAGCCGGCCGCTCTGCGGTTGATCGGGAGTTTCTGTATATAGAATAAGGTGCGTGCGCTTGTTGGCGAGGGTGAGGATGAGGTTCCTCCTCCTCCTCCTCCTCCTCCTCCTCCATCCTTCTCTTGCCTCCGTCTGTCCTCCTCCACCCCACAGCTCCATCATCTTCTCCTCCTCCTCCTCCTCCTCCTCCTCCTCCTCCTCCAGGTGGCCTCGCAGCGCGGCCGCGGCGCGCGGCCCGCGGAGCGATGGCCCCCAGCCCCTTGCTGTGCGGCGGCGCGTGAGGATGCTGGCCGAGGCGTGGGGAGGGCCCCTCTGCGAAGGAGGGTGGCCCCCCAGGTCCGGGGTCAGCAAGAGCCGCAGACGCGCCGACCGCAGGCTACGGTTGGCCACATGCCGCCA